TTTCTTTCTTTCTTTCTTTCTTTCTTTCTTTCTTTCTTTCTTTCTTTTCTTTCTTTTTTGGTTTTTCAAGACAACGTTTCTCTGTGTAGCACTGGCTGTCTTGGAACTCACTCTGTAGTCCAGGCTGGCCTGGAACTCATAAGAGATCCGCCTGCCTCTGCCTCGCAAGTACTGGGATTAAAGACGTGTGCCCAGCTTGCAAGATCTTTTCTTAAAAGCATAAGCAGGGCTGGAGAACGCATGCGCAGCATGTATGAAACCTGGGGTTCCATCCCCAGGCTGTGGTGGTGCAGCCAACAATGCCACACTTGGAAGGTGGAGGCAAGAGGATCAGGATTTTAAGGGCATCCCCAGCCTCACAGTGGGTTGGGGCCAGCCTGGGAGACTGTCTCAAACAACAAAACACAAGACAAATTGGTGTTATAATTATTCATTTTATCCCTCTCAGTGCCCCTATCCCAGGCTATCCCAGTTCTGTTCCTTACCTCTGTGTCTCACCCTCAGGTCCCCAGCAAACTATTTTGGACCAACTTCCTGTTGCTAGAGGGACTGAGTCTCCAGGCAGAAGCAGAGCCATTTTAACTACAGTTGCTAACTGTGCGTTCCAGGTGTTCGAGCCAGCGAAGCCAGGGCCGAGGTGTAGGGGGACAAATACGGAGGGAGACTAACCTAGAGGGGGAAGCGTCTTATGTCTGTCCTCCTGCCCGCCCATCTGATCAGTCCTCCCAGTGTCCACTGCGCTGGCCTCCATGGCCAAGAATGGCCCTCCCTAGAGGGTGAGCTGGGTGGAGGTGTCTGCAGCAAGGTGGCTGAAGGGTAGACAGCAGAAAGGACTGACCAAACCACCAGGGCTGAAGTGGCGTTAGCAAAGGTCTTGATTGCCCTCCTTGCAGCCTATGGACACCCCTCTTTACTTCCACCTTTCTGACTTCCCAGTCCTCCACCCGACTCTATCCCTACTGCAACCCAACCGGACATATCCTGAGGGGGCAGGAAGTTCTATGCAGCTGGCCAGTGAAACTGTTTATTTTTAGAGAAAATTGTTTCCATAAAGAGGAAGGCTTCTCAACTTGTATCCTCACCACTTTCCCAACGCTCTCCTGGCCAGCCCGGGCTCTCTTCTTTGGGGTCGCTGAGGGGGTCCCACCCTCCGTGTTCCATCTCTTGCCCCCCACAATGCGATCTCCACTGGAGTGTCCCTGTTAGCACCCCGGCCCTCCATCCGACGTTAGCTTGCCCTTGCTGTGCACTTTCTAAGCTGGGCCAAGGGGAGGGGGCACAGGAAGGGTGGGGCCGCCTGCCCTGGGGGCCTTGTGGAGGCTGTGGGAACAGCTGGAGCCTGTCCAGGGTGGACAGATGTGCACGCAGGCAGGGAGGTTTGGTTTCTTTGTTCTGGGACTTTCTACAGCCAGGCAAGGGTAGGGAGGGGGAGCTTGAGTGGATGAGAGGTGCCTGACCTGTGAGGGGCGCAGTCTGTGAGGGGCGCTGCCGCATCTCCTCCCTTCTCCCTGAAGACTGCTCATGCTCTGTCCACCTCCCCGCAGGTCAGCCTCTGCCCCTGCTGCAGGCCGGCCGACTCACCGTTCCCCGAGTGACAGCTGAGCAGCAGAGAGAGGATGGCTCAGGTCCTGCATGTGCCAGCCCCGTTCCCAGGTCAGGGGCAGGTGGGAGGCCGGGGTGGACTGCCCCGGAGGACACTGAGTCGGACAGTCTGGGGGAGGGGGAAAGACAGCCGTAACGGGGGGCCTGAGGTGTGGGAACAGCTCTGACTATAACAGTGTCGGGGAGGACAGCCCTGATGGAAGGATCTGAGAGGGAGGACAGCCCTAATGTGAGAGTCCTGAGGGGAGGAAGGAAAGCTCTGTCCTTGGCATCAATGGGTTCCCCGCTCCGGCTGAAGCCGCCTGTGGCCCTGGGCCATCAGCTAGGCAGAGAGGCCCCCCGCAGGGCTTTAAGGCCTCGGCTTTTCCCCCACTCCAGGGACCCCTGGCCAGGCCTCCCCAGCGGCCTTTCCCAGCAGGGAGCCAGACCCCCCGTACTCCGTGGAGACGCCCTATGGCTACCGCCTGGACCTGGACTTTCTCAAGTACGTGGACGACATTGAGAAGGGCCACACGCTGCGCAGGGTGGCGGTGCAGCGCAGGCCGCGCCTGGGCTCTCTGCCGCGGGGCCCGGGCTCCTGGTGGACGTCCACAGAGTCGCTGTGCTCCGACGCCAGCGGGGACAGCCGGCACTCGGCCTACTCCTACTGTGGCCGAGGCTTCTACCCTCAGTACGGCGCCTTGGAGACCCGCGGTGGCTCCAACCCACGGGTGGAGCGCACGCTGCTGGACGCGCGACGCCGGCTGGAGGACCAGGCAGCCGCTCCTTCCGGTGGCCTGGGCTCCCTGACGCCCAGCGCCGCGGGCTCTACCAGCTCCCTGGCAGGCGCGGGCCTGCTGCCCCCCACGCCCCGCAGCTCCGGCCTGTCTACCCCGGTGCCGCCCAGCACGGGCCACCTGGCCCACGTGCGCGAGCAGATGGCGGGAGCCCTGCGCAAGCTGCGCCAGCTGGAGGAGCAGGTCAAGCTGATCCCCGTGCTCCAGGTCAAGCTGTCGGTGCTCCAAGAGGAAAAGAGACAGCTCACGGTGCAGCTCAAGAGCCAGAAGTTTCTAGGCCACCCCTCAGGGACACGGAGCCGGGGCGAGCTCTGCCTGGACCTTCCGGAGCCCCACGACGACCCTGCTGCGCTAGAGACGCGCTCGGTGGGCACCTGGGTCCGGGAACGGGACTTGGGCATTCCGGATGGCGAAGCCGCCCTGGTGGCAAAGGTGGCCGTGTTGGAGACCCAGCTCAAAAAAGCCCTGCAGGAGCTGCAGGCGGCTCAGACCCAGCAAGCCGACCTCCAGCCTCAGGCCTGGCCGCCGCCAGACACCCAGGTCCGCGTGGACACCCTGCGAGTGGTGGAGGGTCCCCGGGAAGTGGAGGTGGCAGCCAGCACCGCAGCCGGGGCCCCCGCACAGCGGGCGCAGAGTCTGGAACCCTACGGAGCAGGGCTGAAGGCCCTGGCCACACCCGGGGGGCCAGACAGCAGCCCCGTGTTCCGAAGCCACGAGGTGGTGGAGACCATGTGCCCGATGCCCACAGCCAGCGCCAGCCACGTGCACACCGCCAAGAAGATCAGTATCACGGAACGGGGTTGCCTTGGTGCAGCCGGGATGGCAGGTGAGTGATCGAGGTCGGAGGGCCCCCCCCTTCATCCTGACGCTCAGCCACGCAGGTGGCTTCAGCGTGTCAGAGTGGAAGGGAGCCCACGGGGGACCTCAGAGCGGAAGGCACGGGGCAGAGACGTTCGGTGTCTCGGGGCCTGGGGAGAGGGCAGTTGGTAAAGTGCTTGCTGTATGAGTGACCTGAATTCAGATCCCCAGCACCCATGTTTTCTCATGGCTGTGGTCATGCCCACTTGTAGTCCCGTCGTGGGGAGACTGAGGCAGGAAGGTGATGGGAGCCAGCTGGAGCGGGCTATTTGGTGGGCTCCAGCCCGTGACAGGCCTCGTCTGAGATGTGGCAGGCCCGGTGAGATGGCCCGTGGGTAAAATCACCCTGCAGCCCAGCCAGACGAGCTGCATTCTCTCCCCGGCGTCCACACGGTGGGGAGGCAGGACTGGCTCCCGCAGGTTGTCCTTTGACCTCCGCAGAGGCGCTGTGGTGCGTGCGTGGCCTGGCCACACGAAAGGCAACATGTTTTTGAAAGGGTAGACCTGAGGAACGTTGCCATCTGTTTACCTCCGGCCTAAACAGGCACACACGAAGTACACAAACGTGCATGCACACACTCACATCCGTGTACACACACGTGAAGAAATTGACACCCAGCGTGTTGCCTTGGGTGGAATGTTCACAGAAATCATTTGAGTTGTTCGGAGGAGGTTCTCCATGGCTGCGGTTGGTTGCGGAGCACTTGCCCTCGTTTGGATTAAGAAATGGCGGGGGTCAGGGTTAGGCAAATGAGTGTGTCGTCTGTGGTGCCCAGGGACAGCAGCAGCCATGGCTGGAGCCGGGTGCTCAGGAGTCACGGGGTCTCACTGTCTGTTCTGTGGGCCCTTCAGGTGGTGAAGGACGCTCAAACTAGGGAGTCCTCCTCTCCACACATCCCCTTCCTTCACGTGACACCAGGTGAAAACCCCACAAGTGGCCCTCAGTGGCCGAACCAGCCAGGGTAGCTGTCTGAGCCTTGAGGGCAGAGGAGACCCTAGCCGAGCCCGGTGGCCTTCGGGAGAGGAAGGGCTACACCCGGAGGAAGTGCCGAGCCCTCGTGCCAGGAAGGGCCGAGTACAGATCGCCAACTGCCCAGAAGCTGCCAGAGTGATTCATAAGATTAGCGACAGCTGTTCTGTCTTGGCACAGGCCAAGGGGTGCCAGCTGCTGTGCTAAGCGTCTCATCAAGTGAGGTTGAGAAAGGTGGGCCAAAAGCCAGGAACCTTGGGTTCCATCGCTGTGTGACCCCAGCTGAGTGACACCACCCCCTCTGGGCCTGCACCTTCCTTCCGCCCGGTGACATGCTCTAATACAAATACTCCCTTCCAGAACCCTTGCCAGTGAATGCATACAGTAAGTGCTTAGGCAGTGCTTCATGCCGCCTCTGCTGACAGTCTTCAGGTTGGCTGGTTTGTGGTTGCTTGGTTTGGGGGGTTCTTGTCTTTCCCTTTTGGGGTGTGTGGAATTTGAGGCAGTCTTGCTGTGCTGTGCCTCCCAGCCTTGGCTCCTTCCCTTCCCTTTTCCTTCCCTTCTCTCCCTTCCTTGCCTTTTCCAAACCTCCATCTCCCTTCCCTGCTGTGTATCAGGTGTAGGACTTCTGCCTGGCTTAGCCTGGCGTGGCCCTGAGCTCTCCTTCCTCCTGCCTCAGCCCCCTGAATGGTTGGGATTACAGGGCATATAATCCATGCCCAACTTTAAGCTCTGCTTATACCTGGGAAAACTGAGGCTTAGGGCAAGGGATCGATGGGCCAGGGTCTGCACCCAGGGCCTGTGAAACCCCACAGTCATCCCCAGACTCAAGGTCAAGCTGGCGGGGGCCTGCTGACACCAGTGGGCACAGGCTGCTGGGCGAGGGCCCAGCTGTGTTTCCTTGCTTCCCTGTTGTTCCTGGCCAGCCACGGAAACCACCCCTCTGTTCCGTGTCCATCCAAACACCCGGCCCTGAGGTTCTGGCCCCCGGCCAGGGGCCCGCCCAGCCCAGCCTTGGAATCTCTGAGAGGCACCCTCCATTCCAGACGTGCCTCACAGGGCAGTCATGGGGCCTCATGCTCACAGGACATAGAGACCACGCCATGTTCACTGCCAGCCCGAAAGTCCTCCCTCGTGTCTCACCGCGCTCCCTCTTGCTGCAGCCAGCTCACATCTTGGCCTCACTCAGATGGAGCTGGAGTGTGTTGGTTTGTTTCATCTTGTTCAGCAGGTGTTTAGGGCCCGGTCTCACAGGCATGGGGAGTGCAGCGGGAGAGAGCATCCTTACTCATGTTCCTGCAGGTGGCTCGGCAGGTAGAGGTGCTTGCCACCAGCTCTGAGTTTGAGCTCAGAACACGTTTTTGTTCCTTTTTTGAGACAGGGTCTCACTATGTAGACGCGGTTCACCTGGAGCTTGCCATGGAGACTGGGCTGGCCTCCAGTGCAGAGATCTACCTGCCTCTGCCTCCCGAATGCTGGGATTGAAGGCGTGCACCTCTGTGCCTGACCCAGAGACCCGCATACTGGAAAGAAACAATACCATACACAAGTTGTCCTCTGACCTCTGCACGTGCACCAAGCCATGGCACACACCCTCCCTACCCCCAATCTAGTAAACAAATACGTAAATAAGTGTAATTTACTTTTAGAGACAGGCTCTCATGTAGACCAGGCTACTCTCAGATTCAGGGAGCGCCACCTGCCTCTGACTCTGGAGTGTTGGGGTTAAAGATATGTACACCAGCATGCCAGAAGTAAACATTATTTAAAAACAAACAAAAACCTCTGCAGAAAATATGCAAGAGACCACAGTAAGCAACTAGAAAGTGTCCATATGAGAGATAGGTGTTCAAATAAAAAGAGGAACAAGACAGGGCTAGTGACAGTTTGTGGGGGGGAGGGCCCTCGTGTGCCCTGCAGCTGTAATCTTGAGCATGCTCTTTGAACTCTGTGATCTACTGCCATAGCGCCCTGAACCTCCCTAGACTCTGCAGCACTCTCCATCTGCAAACTGGGTGTCCTGACTAATCATCATGCTAGGGCATGGCTCAGTGGTGGAGCCTCAGCCGAGAATATCCCAGTGAGGGGCTTGGGCTTGTCTCAGTGGTGGAGCCTCTGCCTAGAATCCCCCAGTGAGGGGCTGGGGTATGGCTCAGTGATAGAGCACTGGTCTAGAAGGTGGAGGGCAAAGAGTTGAGGTGTTGGGGGAACCTAAGCATCTGAGGGCGAGTGCCACAGACTCTGCTCTGGGCATGCAGCCTCAGAAATGAAATGCGGTGTGCGGCCTGAGCTGCTGTTGAGCAGGCTTCAGCACTCCGTGTCTGCTGAGGTGGGTAAGCCTGATGGTAAACCACAAAGGACTGCTTGGAGGAAGAGGCAGGGTTGACCTCTTCAGCACCTATCGGGGACTGTGTTTCTCAGCAGAGCAGGAATTCACTTTCTCCAGCTGGCGAGTTAGGGAAGCCCCCTCCACACACACACACAGACACGTGCCCAGGCTGGGAGAGGTGGGCAGGATGGACCGACAGACCTAGAGTCCTGTGCACGTCACTCACAGAACGTAGCAGAGTCAGGGCAGAGTCGGCAGGCCAGGGACTGCTACGCGCTGTACAGGGTTGACATGCGTCTCTGGGCTTGGGAGATGGCCTAGCTATTACAGTGACCTGAATTGGATCTCCAGAATCCACGGGAAAACTCTGTAGCAGCACACACTTAAACCTTAATGCTGGAGAGGCCAAGATTTGTGCAGCCTGGGGCCTTGCTTGCCAGCCTAGCCTGCTCTGCAAACCCTAGAACTGTGAGAGACCATGCTTCAAACAAACAAACCAACAACAGCCACACAAAAAAATAAGGGCCACATGTAGAGGCAGCTCAGTGGTTAAGAATGCTTGCCGCCCTCGAACTGGAGAGGGTCTCGCATTGGCGGGCACCCACGTAGGACGTCTTAGCAATCTGAAACCCCAGCTCTGGGGGATCTGACACCCTCTCATGAGCTTGACAGCTCGCACGCACGCACGCATGCACGCGTGCACAAGATTAAACAAATCTTATGGCCTAGCGTGGTAGCACTCACCTTTAACCCCAGCACTCAGGAGGCAGAGGCAGGTGGATCTGTAAGTTTGAGGCCAGCCTGCTCTACATAGTGAGCTGCAGGACAGCCAGGGCTATAGAGTGAGACCCTGACACATGCAACAACAAAAGTGATTTATAGTGTGTTTGTAGAAGGGTTGGAAAGGGCTGGAAAATCTGAACACCAGAATCCACCCAGGTGTGTAGCTGCTTTCTAGACCTTTGTCGCCCTTTGTTGTTGTTGTTGTTGTTGAGACAGAATCCCACTCTAGTCCAGGCTGGCTTGGAACTCACGGCCAGGCTGCAGCCTCAGCTTCTCGAGTGTGGGGACCCTGTGGGTGGGTGGAACCGGGCGCAGCTCCTGCCTGTGGCTCCTGTGCCTTTGATTGTAGTATGTGGTGCTGGGATGGAACCTAGGTCTCGCACGTGCTGGGCCAGCGTTCTGCCTTGGCCAGGCTCCAGCTCCGCTTTTGAAATTGTGATTTAATAGTTTAATATGTTTATTTATTTACTTAGAGACAATAGCTCAGGTAGCCCAGGAAGACCTTGAACTCTGGGCTCCCAAGCCTCTACCCCTTGACTGCTGGGATTACGGGTGCGCGCCACCATGCTGGTTTGCCGGTTCTGGGGATGGCACCCAGGACTTGGAGAGTGCTCGGCACGCGCTCCACCATCCATCCTCAGCTCTGTCTTCACGTAGTAGGAGTCTGTGTATTTGGGACAGTTCTGCTTTGTAGCCCAGGCTGCTCTTGTCTGCTGCCTCAGTCTGACAGGCCAGACTGGGATATTGTGCTTGAGCCGTCGCAGCCAGCCCGACTTGTTCAAATGCATAAAAGAGAAGTATGTTTTTAATAACTGGCACCACAAGGCTGGTGGGAATTATTGTTTTGCTTGATTTTATTTATTGTTTCAGCTGTGGTGGAACCAGG